TGTTTGCCCCAACGGGCGGGTTTGCTCGAATTGGCCAGGGCCGGGCAAGCGTACGTTTGCGCGTGTGCTTCAATATTTGTGTTTGTTCTTTTGCGGAAACTTGCCGCAAGATGAAGCTGAGCTTGACACTTCTACCTGGGAGGGAGAAGTCATTCGCACATGCCGTGCCGCGGCCGGCTGGAGTTCGCCTCCCAGGAGCTGCGTGGGGCAGTCCTGGAAGTCAAGGCAAGGCGCGGCCGATTCCAAACTACGACACTCACGACCTCTTCAGACCTTTAGGACTCAATTGTTGGGACTGGGTTTTTGTTTGGTTTGAACTTGGAGGGGTGTTTTTTCTCTGGATGTCTAGCAGATCTGAGCCTTGCCCTCATGTGATGATTTGTAATTGTGTTCCTTGGCGGCAAGAGCCTGTACATTCCCAGCACGAACATAAAACGTCCAAGAATTACTTTGGAGAGGTGAATTGGGCCGGGTATGTCTGAAACTTTGCTCTCAAGGAAGCAAAACGATTTATGGGCAACACTGACCAGTGGCCCTGTTTGCCAGCAGCTGTTGTTCTCATTATTCCGAGTTTGCATGTGTTTAGAAAAAAACTGCCTGTAGATTTCCCCAAATGTTGTTTCTTAGCGACTGGGAATCAAGAGCTTCAAATTCCCGCTTCCAGCTTTAGGCCCGACTCAGGAAATGTAAAGAAACGAATCTCCAACTTTGGCCTCTGAAACCAGTCCAAGCCACCCTCAAACTGTTTGCCCCAAAGGCGACTTTTGGACGCCGTCCGAAGAGGGTTCCCTCCAAGTTGGAGGCGCAAAGCTGGACGTCACGTGTCGTCAGCGTGTTTTTGTTGCTGGGTGGGCTCCAGAGGAACTGTTTGCTTTGTTGTTTTTCTTGCTTACTTATTGTGGGTTTTAGTTTGGCTCCCTCGGGCTATCCGGAAAAGCCGGCGTCCCTCAACAAAAAGGTAGACCCTTGTTGGACCCGCAGTGTTTCAGAACAGTCGGCCAAAAAGCAGGGACCTAACACATATTCTGGATATGTTCCTGGTAGTTGTGTCTGAATATGAATAACACGCCCCTCCAATGTCGTTAGCCTCGGCTCGCCCTTTAGTGTTTTTATACGTAGACTGAAGGCTGAACAGTGCGCGTCCTGCGTCGCGGCCAGGCTGGACCTGGACCTGCACGGTGAAAAAGCGGCCAGCAAAAGACGCCGTTTTTAACACAATTTGGGCTAGTATAAGAAGCTTGCACATACTCCCACGAATATTTTTCGCATTGGGTCTGTGGCAGACCGAGTTCATGTCATGGCGCCACCTATGCAGAAGAGGATCTACATCCGGAAGGCAGACGTCGAGAAGTACACGCCTACAGATGGGTGCCCAGGATGCACATGCATTTTGCTGGGCCAATCTACCGTGTTGCCACACACGGAAGCATGCAGAGCCAGGATTGTGACTCTGATGCAACAAGATGAGGAAGGCAAGAGCAGATTAGAAGAACACGAGAGGAAGAAGAGATCTAAAAGGGATGAGAAGAATGAGGCCCCTGAGAGGGATGTGACAGCTGATGACGCAGCTGGAGCGCCGGCCGACAAGGCCGTGCAAGCTAGTGAAGAACGCAGGGATGAAGGCATTTTGCCATACCCTGACAACCCAGAGGAGAGGTCAAGCCTGAAACGTGCACCTGCAGAGCCCAGCAGTAGCAGTACGCCTGCAGGGAGTAAGGCTAAAGCCTCACCGGTCAAGCCTCAGAAAAGACCGGGAGAACTCAGGATAGCCGCTGGACCTAAGCTGAAGGTCCAGCCACCCCAAGGAGAAAAGAGAGAACCTGAGGTATCAGTTGAAGATTTGAGAGATCAAACTGGAGAGCCACCTGCTGGAGCAACTACTCCAGGGCAGCCCCCGGACGCGGGAGGACTGTCTTTGAGCAGGGCAAAGGAGGTGGTGAAGAGGATGATCGAAAGGAGAATCAAGCAGGTCTATGAGCAGCAGGAGGTAGAGATCTCGTCAGTGGAAATTGAGACTCTAGCCAACATAAGCTGCGAGCTAAGCGCAGTACACCAGGTTTGGTTTAAAGCCTGGTTTCGCAATCGACCTTGAGGAGGCTAAACCCGACGGTTCGTTCTGGGACCTTAGCAGGCCAGAAGACGTCGAGGCCGTAAACCAACTGATTGATCGTGACGAACCAGTACTACTGACTGGGAGTCCGCCGTGTGATCAATTCAGCCACTTGCAGAACATCAACAAGTACAGGGTCAGCCCGGATCAACGTAAGATCCGTATGGATAAAGCACTGGAGCATCTGCACAACTCATGCAGCTTCTATAGGAAGCAGCTGGATGCAGGACGCCTGTTCTTGCACGAGGCGCCCTGGAGTGCCACTTCGTGGAAAGATCCTGAAGTCAAGGAACTGACGGATCGCCCGGACACATATTTGGTCCGAGGGCCGATGTGCCGATGGGAGATGATGGCGACAGACCGCCGTGGTCTTCAAGGCACAGGCTATGTGAGAAAGGAGACCGGTTGGCTCACTAATAGCCGGGAGCTTGCTGAGCTCTTGGAAGGTGAGTGCAGCAACAAGGCAGGGAAAGATCCCTGGCACAGGCATGTACACCTTATTGGTGGAATTGCCAAACAGGCCGCCAGGTACCCACCTGCGCTGGTCAAAGCTGTCCTTCGGACAGTCAAAGCTTATCTTGTACAGAAGGGTGAGCTTAACTCAATGGAGTCGAATACATCAGGGCCAATCTGTGAGGAACCTTTTGTTCCAGCAGACTACATTGAAGAGTACTGGGATGATGTGAATGGAGGACTTCTACCAGCGGAAGAAGTTAAGAAGGCAAGAACTCTTGAGATGGACTACTTCAAGAAGCAAGGAGTTTACCGGGAGGTGCCGGTAACACAATGCTACGCAGAGGGACTTCGTCCAATCACGGTGAGATGGTTAGACACGAACAAAGGAGATCCTGAAAAGCCCAACTACCGGTCTAGATTAGTTGCCCGTGAAATTAAGGCAGCCAAGAAGCCGGAAGAACAGTTGCCGCAGAACCTCCTGTTCTCGTCAACGCCACCGTTGGAGGCAATGCGCTACTTGCTGAGTGCCTGGGCAACAGACCGGGTGTCAGCCAAGGGCCGGAGACTGAAGCTCGGTCTCTGGGACATAAGTCGAGCGCACTTTTATGGAGTTCCGAAGCGACGCATATATGTGGAGCTTCCACCAGAAGACGCAGAAGAAGGCTTCTGTGGTTTGTTGGAAAAGAGCATGTATGGTTGCCAAGACGCGCCAGCAATATGGCAAGACCATTATACCCAACTTCTTTTGAAGCATGGGTTTCAGCGTGGCCGCAGCAATGGTTCCTGCTTTTACAAGCCGAGCACAGGGTGCAGAGTGTTGGTTCATGGAGACGACTTTCTTGCACTTGGTGATCAAGAAGCTTTGGATGAGCTGGATTCCACTTTAAGGAGTGCCTACGAGCTGAAACGGCTCGGAATGCTGGGAGACGAGGATGGAGATGATCGCGCAGCACATTTCTTGAATCGTCTGATCCGCATTGGCATGCACGAAGGCCAGTTAGCGGTTTTCTTGGAACCTGACCGCCGTCATGTGGAACTTTTGGTGAGACATCTGGGAATGGTGAACGCGAAGGGCACTGAGACCCCAGACATCAAGAAGTCCGTGGAGCAGCAGCTTTTGGAGGCTAACAGCCCTCCGTTGGCACGAGAAGCAGCTTCACTTTATAGGTCAAGTGTGATGCGAGCAGCGTATCTCAGTCAAGATCGTCCTGATCTTTCGCACGCTGTGAAGAATCTTTCAAGGAAGATGGTCACCCCGACCGAGGCGGCGATGCAAGACCTGAAGAGACTGTGCAGATATTTGCTGAAGTATCCTGATCTTTGTCAAGTGTTTGGGAGACAAGCCAAACCCTCGAAGGTCCGTATACAGGTTGATTCTGACCATGCAGGAGACGCTGTCACTAGGCGAAGCACTACAGGCATGGTTGCCCTCTATGGTAGCCATACGCTGAAGCACTCAAGCAACGTCCAGTCGACGATAGCATTGAGCACTGGAGAGGGTGAGTACTACGCTTTAGTGAAAGGCGGTTCTGTAAAATTAGGACTTCAATCCCTCCTTCAAGACTTTGGAGTTGAGGTAGAGGTTCTAGTAGAGTCTGATGCAACCGCAGCCAAAGGCACGGTTAATAGAGTAGGCCTGGGAAAGGCACGCCACATTCAAACTCGTTATCTGTGGTTACAGGAACGTGTGGCGATGAATCATTTAAAGGTAGAACACATACCAGGCAAGCGGAACAGGTCTGATGTGCTGACAAAGTCAGTACCCGGAGTCCAAATGAAGGACACAATGAATCGTTCCGGATTTGTGTTTCTTCAAAGCAAGAGTAAAGGCCAGATGAGTCTTCTAGATTCGTAAGGCCCTGGTCCAGGCTCCGACTACCGCACTGTATAGTTGCTGTGCGGGTGATCAAGCACCCTCCAGCAAGGAGGAGTGTTGAAAAATGTAGCCCAATACACATGTTGTCATATACAGTTGTACAGTTGAGACTACTGACATGTTTTGGCTCAAGAAAATAAGGCGCTCCGAAGCGGCCAATTAGATTTTCACTTTGCAATTGGGGGCTCTTTTGGATGGCCCAGGCATCCCCCATTCTGAGCAAGCGCTGAACGAAGTTGGGATGAGCCCCGAATTACCATGAAAGACTGGGTTGTAGGAACTCCCTTCAACGGATCCCAGCACCCTCCAAGGTTTGCTTTTTCCATGTCCCCTCAAGGGATCCTTCATTGCCATGGGACTTGGAACATGGGAACATTCTGTCTTCGGAGGGGTGCTGGTCCATGTCCCAAACTTTCTCGTCCTTTTAGTTTTAGTGTGCTGCGAACCCTAAGACAACCAAACCAACGGTTGAACATCGGTTTTGTGTCCGGCCAATGTTCACCCGACCGATTCGGGCTTCGGAGCAGCGCTGAGGTTTGGTGCATCTATCACTGTTACATGGTGGCACGCAAAGTCTTGAGCATCCTCGAGGCACTTTGCAGACTTTCCGGCTTCGTCAGGTCAGAAAATAATGAGCAGAAATGACACAAATCAGCGTGGGCAAATTTCATTAGCCCTGCACCAAAATCAAAACACATTTTTGTTTCTGGCCCCAAAGCTGCGGGGCCCAAAGCTGAGATAGCTGGGGTTTCTGGTTTAGGTCTATTTGAAGTCAGCCCTTAGCATATTAACCTTGTACTTCCAAGTTCTTGTTGCGAGTCAATGTGTTTGTGTGTGTGTGTGCGCCTGGGCCTGTGTGTGTTCGTGCTTGTGTTTCTCCCCTTTTGTGTGGCCGCTGTTTTTTGGGTTTCTTTCACACAATCCAAAAGGGGGTGATTGTCGGCAACCACCTATTAGTGTGTGGTCTGTTCTTCTCTCAAGATTGTCCGGTTTGGCGCTTGCAAGATCTGGGACGGCAGGTGCGTGCTGTTTTGGCCTGGCCCGGTTTCGGCACTGCCCCAAACCATTGAACCAGTCAAAACAGAAGAACACGTTACAACTGCCAGCACGTTTGCCACCGGAACATGGGCCCTACCCACAGCCCTAAAAGACATCACAGACCAAGCCAGGGCGACGCCATGATGCATAGCCCCAGTCGCAATCAATGCTATCTTTTCCAGGCCCCTTCTTTGCTCTTTTGGGGTTTGTTTGGCTTTTCTTCGTTTCCTGATTGAATTTTGGGTCCTGCGATAAATCAAAAGAGCAAGCCCATGTTTTGCTCAATGGATGCAAGCGAGTGATCCACATGCTTCCGTGCGGCGGTTGTTTCAATCAAATCCGCATTGGTTTTTGAGGGGAGTCCAGCGGATTCCACCTTCGGGCTATCTGCAAAGAGTGATTGGATAGTTTCCAACAGCCTTCTACCGAGGCCGCTGGTTGCAAGCAAGGACCAGAATCTCGTCTTGTCGCTGTCTGCAGCACACTCTGTGGGAGCGTATGCAACTACGAACGTGACTCTGTTAGGGCTTCCACAAGCTAGAGGTCGATTGCTGAACCAACTCGCCGTTGTAGGTGCGTAGGGTAGCGTTCCCGAGGAATTTACGATTCCGGAATAGCAGGATTGCGAAGAACCCCGGAATTCCCAGTGGATACACGATGATCATCAGTCCTGAATATACCATGAAGGCTTCGTGCTTAGATGAGTGGAAAACTGGCCCGCGCATATTAGCATGGAACCCCAAAGACAATAAGCTGTAGAGAAGCTCCCGTTGAGGGATCCCTCTTGGGGTTCGATATTACTTTACAGTACACTATGTTATGTCCTTAGCGCGGGGGGGGGGGGGGGGAAAAAACAACAACAACAAAACAGACAACACAAACAAGGGGATTTATTGGGAGGATGTCGCCAGGTTATCCAGAAGAACATCCGCAACCCCAGCAAGCTTCACATGATGTCCAGCATCAAGGACGACCTGGGGCCGGGGCCTTGCCGCCGAACTTAAGACAACTGAAGGTCAGTTAGAAGCAGGAGCCCATGGGTTGTGGGCGCCGCTCACTTGACTTGACTAGGAGTGGTGTTTGTTGCAATGTTGAAGGGAGCGCTTGTAATTTGGGTGTCTTTGTTTTGTTTTGTTTTTTCTCCGGGCTGGCTTGTCGTGACCCACAGTTAAGGCTCTTCCGTGAACAATGGACAGCTCCACAAAATAATCCAATGAACACACCACCACACGGTGTTTGAGTTGTTTGGTAACCCCGAGCCACAGGATAAAAGCATACTATGTTTTTGCTGCCTCCCTCGCTTCAGTGAGCACCCTGAGTGCTCACTGGAATGCAAACCAATTTTTCCTGCCTGTTCCAGGGACATCACTGTTTGCGGTGTTTGTTTTGTAGTTGTTGTTGCTACCCAGTTATTTTCCGAGTTCATACCTTTTTGGGACAACTATTTCAGCAGTAAACACCTGTCGTTGGGGCGAATCCACGAATGAAGTGAGCCCTTTTGCAGGGTTCCCCTTTGGCCTCTAAAAACGGCGTCCTTTGGTTTCCCTTAAAAGCAGGCAGGAGGTAGCACGTTTTGTCCAACGATTGTTCCCAGGTCGCGCGGCATTGAGAAGGCTCCCACACGGCGGCCGCGGTCTCAGCTCAAAAATGGGGTGCAAGCGGAGCTTCCTCAGAAACTGATGTTGTTTTGGACGAAATAGGTGTAGGATTCTACTTCAATACCCGACCGGCATACCCCGCAAGCAGCGGTTATGCCGTATGCAAGCAGAACCCTTGAATAGGGCAGCTTCCAGACTCGGTGGTTGCGCATTTCTCGTCAAGAGCCTGAGATTCTAGACTTTCTTTGAGGGAAGCTCGTTCTGGTGGCAAACAATTGTCTGGACTTGGCTTGGCCAACCCAAGTGAGTCTCACCCATAGGCGGATGGGTGCGGATGGGATCGATCGAGTTTGACTGAGGTCCGACAGATACAGCACCGCCGGGGCCGGAAGACCCAGATGGAGTTTGGGGCGTGCTCCAAGCCTCTGAAACCAACCTGTGACTCGACTCCATGGGTTTGGCCCCCGCCCGCAAGCCCCCTAAGGACATCTGCGTAAGGTCTTCGACCGGTTGTGACAAAGGAGCCTGTTAGGTTCTCAAAGAAGTCCTAAACGCAGGGCATCGGTTTCGGAGGGCCATATCCTTTCGGCTTTCAAGTTGATGGGTCCCGCTTTTGCGTGGGCCGCCCTATCGGTTTGGTGGTCATACTCTGACTATTCAGATGGCATATGGGCTGTACCCCTTACTGGGATATGTATAGGGAAGCCGAAGGGAACCCGTCCATTTTGTGGAGCAGATATCCAACATATTTGTGTTTAGACTCCCCCCCTTGAAACAACACCCAAAAAAGGTATCAACCCCTAAAAAGGAGCTTCACCAAGTTGTTTCTGGCCGGACGTGGAATGGTGCCCCTTTCTGTTTTTGTGCGTTTTGTTGTTCTGCAGTTCGTGCATTCGGTACAAACACCTTCATGAAACATTGTTTTGCCTAGAGTGTCACCTGCTAAACAGGGTTGCTCCAACATCAATGGCCATTCCAGGTAGAACCTTGATAATCATGTGTTTGTCCCGCTAAAACTACCCTAAGCATGCAACCGTCCGCAAAGGGTTGTATTCTCTACAAATTCGGAGTGAATCATGTTTGCCAACTCAAATGTTGGGTTCTTTGTTTCCCTTTGCCACAGACCAGCTTTCTACCAACTTGTGACAGTGTGTTTGGACCAGACTGGGTTCTTCGATAATTTCCCATAATTCTCAATTCGAAACCACAAGGAGATGTGCAATTTTTCTGATTTTGTCCAGTCCCCCTAAACCTCGCACTCAGTGGAGCAACCCAAATGAGCTGCAGGAACGGGCAATGCAGCTGACCTCGTCCCGCACTCAGAGACTATCTCGAGCCCGGGGCAGACTTCTGCTTCCACAATAGGGGTCCCCGTTCTCAATATTTTTTGCACACACCCAGTTCACGAGGATCCTCACATACTGTCCCTGTCCCTCGTTCTTTGTAGGGCTCTTTGCATTTCGATTGAGTATAGGGCGGAGCTCAGAGCTCCTTTCAGCGCGCTCCGCTAGCTCTGTTTTTGGTGGTCAAGGGAACTTCAAGGAGCCACCTGGATGCGGGCGATTTGAAAGCATCAGAAATAGGTGCCGGTAGTTTGGTTTTTGGTATCTGACGTATTTGGCCTGAACATGGGGGGGGGGGGGGGGCCGAGGGCAACCACAAAAAGGCTCGCTGGTTGCAGCATTGGCTTGAAACACCAGATGAACCCGTGTTGTGCGTCGCGCCCGCATGACGGGTGTGGAGAGAGGCATTGGGTGCGCAGCTACTCCCACTTCTTCCGGACCTACTCTACCGCCCAGAAGGCTGTCCGCAAGGCCAGATTGGGCGAGAACAAAACGACTTGGAAGCCAAAGTTGGCAAGGGGTTGACCCATCCCCGAAAGGAAACAACTTGAGGCGGGCGAACAGGCTTGAGAGAGCATTGGGGGACCGGGGAAGGGGATATTTTAAGTGGGGAAGACTAGAAAATCGAGTTGGGTGCCCCCCTTTCTGGAACAATTGAACCTAACCTTCGCGGTGGATTCCAACTACGTAAATGTGAAGCCCGTAACATGGTACTTAATTTGCATGGCATTCCACGTGTTACCTTCTTGCGATAGGACATCAACTGCAAGGGGAGGTGGGAGTGTGTTTCTGAAATTGGGAGCACACATTTTGCAAGGCAATCCGAAAGGCAATCCGAAAGGTAGCCGGGAAGAAACGGCCCACCTGGAGGGTCAACCCAGTTTGAGAGAAAAACACCTGGGTGCTAGCCCGGCCTGATGTTGCCTTAAAGGAAGTTGGTCGTGGACGCAGAGGTGCTCCGAAGTTTCTGAAGGATGACCAAACCCAAACTCGATTTGCTTCAGTCTCCCTTCAAGCGCCGAATTTCGACCTGCCGATCGGGTCTTTGGAGCAGACCCACATTGATCCCGCAGATGTGCTCCGTTGCTTCCCTTGCAAGGGCCCTGCGGTGCGGGCCGGTTGGTCTATTTCCCTTCTGTTTGCCACCTCAGGCCAACGTCTCAATATGTCCCTTGTTGAAAGGAGTTTCACCACCCAGCGCCAAGCGCCCAGCGCTAGGTGCACAAAGCCTGCACGAGGTACAAGGACCGGGTACCGGGTTGGTCGTTGAGTCATGACGGGTGTTGGGACCTTGACAATGTGGTTGAAACGCCCTCACTCATGGTGGGTTAGCTTTTTTGTTGGAGCTACATCCCCCAATGATGTTATCAAACCCTCGCCAGTCAAGCATCATACGCAAATGATATGGTTTTTGGTATAGGGTTCACTACAGAAGGATCAGAATCAACAGCGGACGGCGGACAGTGCGAGCCGCGGGCCAAAAGCTGCAGGTCTTAGGAAACGAGAGACACGCCCTCCCCTTCGAGGAGGGGTTTCCTGGATTGGATGCTACTCAAAAAAAAAAGAAGTTGTTGGAAAATAAAACTTTCCGAAAGCATAAGATCAGGCCTTTTGAAGTTGGGAGGTCATCGAAGCGCTGGTTTGCCTTTGACACTTTTCTGTGATGCGCTTCCCAGTGGAGCCCAGGCAAGCCACGATGGGTGACCTTTTGCCAATCGCTTTCCTTGGGAAACTACATACAGGTATATGACAAATCACCAGGCTTCTGAAGTCTTCGACATTAACAAGTTGTCAAAACAATATGTGAATTGGAATCGAGCTTACCATCAGCCAGCAACACAGAAAGTAGGTTTGATAGTTTGCCCCCTGCACTTAGGATCAAGGCAGCTTTTTATCATGGATACCAGGGGCCTTCTGAACGGAACAGCAGCAAACAAGCGACCTCTGCCGGAGGTGCTGGCCTATGATGAAAGCTCCATAGGGAGCCCTCACTGGGGAAATTGCTGGAAGCTCTCAGGAAAGTGAGAATCTCTGGAACACTCTGGGGAAAATGTGGGGAAACTGCTGTAATATAGTCGCATGATAGTTGCCCAGATAGAAACATCATGGCAAGCCAATCGGCCTTGCTACTGTGAATGCCCCAATCATTGCAGATACTTGTTCCCCCACTTGCACTATTTCGGGTGCCCACCGCAAGGGGCTCGAAAGGTCCCTTGCAAAGAGAGGTGGGTTTGCATGAAACAGCCAAGAACAAATCATGCCCCACAGTTCGCCGTTCCAGCCCCTGCAAATCTAGTTCATTTCCTTTGCTTTCCATTTCAAGCAGGAACAAACATTGGGACCTTTGTTGATATCATGTTGCATTTCGAGGTTCGCCAGGCATTCACCAACGTCCACAAACCGCAAACTTTGCTGGGCGAACAAGGGCTTCCAACAAAGGCTGGACATGCAAAACTGAGCCACCATCGAAATCTGGTTCTAGATGAAGATGCATGGGGCACAGTATGGCGCAGTCCAACCGCAGATATCCGCCCTTTTCCTTCTTTTCTGAGGTTTGGGGCAGACTCGCATATACCCTATATTCCTATCCTACTCTCCTTCCCATGCTGCCATGAAACCCAGAGGTGAATACCCTCCTTCCCGACATGGAACCCACCAGAGGGTCCCCTTCAGAACACCCGCTTTGTCAGCAAGCCATGGCGTTAGTGGTGGGGAGGAGCCCCAACCAACCTACATACGAGGCAACACACGGGGCTAAACTACTTGCACACATCATTCCCTTATGAGCCACTGCAGAAAAAATGATGCCAAAGTCCACAACCCCATTGAAGACATTTGGGCCCCTAAACTATAGGAATGAATGCACTTGGGGTGGGAGGGCATCAGGTCTTGATGGCCGAAGTGTTGCCCTCAGGACGAGCCGGGCTTCTTTGCGCCGGTCTTCCAGGCACTCGACATGTGTTCGTTTGCGATTGCATAGATCGGAGAAACCAGCGAAACCAAACCAGGAGAGTCTGCAGAGGTTTCGGCGAACTGCCTGTAGAATGGCCTGCGGCTGGTTTCTTAGAATGGATCTTGGCGAGTCATAAGGAGTTCGCTGTTTCGGGTGTCAAACGAGCGATTCTACCCATGATGAAGGTCAGAGGGTATTGATCTAGGGAACGGTTTGGATGCGGTTTTTGTGGATCCACCCTTGTAGGATAGCAAAAGAGTACTAAAAGAGTATTAAAAAAGGAACAACTAGCCAAACAACATGGGGAAACCACAGAAAGCGCATCCAATCCGATTGCTGGAATTGAGGCAAAGGGCCTTTCTTGGTCATGGGCAAGCTGCCAGGCATAAACTGCTAGCACTGCGATGACCAAGTTGCTGAATGTATGACCCCATAATTACGTCAATTGCAAATTATAGCGACCTCATAAATCGGGTTGCCACCTCTCCCATGAAGCTTCTTTTCTTGTTGGTCCATAAGGCCTCTTGCTGAAGCCGGATCCGCGAGGGCCCAGATAGTAAGTCTGTTTCCCCCTGGGTGAGCTCGCCGTACAACAGGCAGATTGCCTGCTTTGCCAAGCATAGTGGAAATCATAATTTGCCGCAGGTGCCCTGTTTAGTTTTCTTACGTTGGTGCAAAGGGAAGTAGATTGTGACTTCTTGCGAACAGACGAGAATTACTGGCACCTGAAGCAACCAGAGCATTATTGGGATGACGGGTGTGTCTTCCTCTTACCCCCGGTTTGGGATTCAAATGGCCAGGGCTGTACGGCAGTTGGCCCATACGTCCTTGACTCGGAATTCGGAATTCGTCACTTCCCTGAGCTCCCTGGCTTGGGGCTTGATGGAAAATGGCGGCCATTCCTCATGACGAATGCCCCAGAATATGGCTGTCCAAGGGCCTCAACGGGCGAATTTCCACCTGGTTAGGCCATCTGTTTCAATGGGGAAGACTTGGGATGACTTGCCAGCCGCATCAGTTGAACCTGCCCAATGTCATCCCTGCTAACAAGCCCAATCCGGGTTTCCTTGCCCCAACAACGTTGGGTCTGAAACACAAAAGCATATGGCTGTGGGCCAGAAATAGCCCCAAAACGGAACCCTGGTAAATGGAAACATGGACTAAAACCTGCGGTCCAATTCCTGGTGGCTTGATTTTGACCCACACCCCCCCTCTTCAGCAAGACACGGTCGTCTCGATTTCACCCCTGCGCTTTGGAGCAGAGAGTTGCTCTCCTCGAGAGCACAATTTGATTCAGTTCTCGCGAGGCTCAAACCGTGAATGGGGACAACTTGTGCCGGCCGCGGCCCTACGATGTTGTTATGCATCCCACATGGTTCTGGAAATTCACCTCTGTGATATCAAAGTGGTTGATTTCTTTTGACTACTGTATGGGATTCCTTCCCCTGCTACTGCAGATGGACGACATCCATTTTGTAATAGTTAATCCCAACTAGCTCGATTCTGACTTTGCTCATCCACAGTATGAGGTGGAGACATGAGCGTCTGAAGCTTTTCAGGACCCCCGTAGGTGGTTGGCTGCCAGTTGGTTTCCCTTCCATCGATGTTGTGTCGTTCGTATCAGACATGTGCAGGAGTACAGTTCAACGTCATTACCGTCATTTGCTGGGATGTCCTTGGGGAATTTCACTCAAGTTCTCGGGAGGGAATGGGGCTTACTCATCAAGATCCCATGTCAGTATGGAGTGTGGCTGATATGATTCACTGACAATATTATAGTGGCAGTCTATTGTTGATGTTGGATGGATAAGGGGGACGGACCAAATTCACAGTTTCACACAAAACCAGGAGTTAGGCGTCTCCGCCCAATTTTCCTTACCGATCCTCGAATAGATGATCAAGCCAAATGTGTTGCTTTCCTCGATTTCTTTTCAAGAGAAACTATGACCCCCCCTTTTGGTTAGAATACGACTAGTTCAGCAAGGGCTTCTTCTCGCTGCTTTAGAGAGGGCATTGTAGTCAGGTCTGTTTCAACAAAAATACACATTAGAACCATTCTGGTAGAACCAACATCCATGGGTTTTGGGCTCTGCTCACTTACTTGTTTACAGGGTGTCAGTTTCTGTTTGAGCCGTTGAGGCATTGCGCCAAGGTCGCTGGGCGCTCTTCCGTGTTTTCCAGGAATTCGAATTTCGACAAAGTAGTCATGCAGACGGGAGTAGTGTTTTGCTATGTTTTGCGATGACTGAGCCGTACTTCCCCAGTTGATGCTTTTGTTGTCACAAAACCTCACTCCCGGTTTTTAAGCGTTTGCGCCGCGCCAGACAGGAAGGTTCCCCGCACCCAGATTGACGTGCCCTCCTACCTGGAGTATGCTGACAAGTTTTAGACTTTCGATTGAGACATTCCTTCGCGAGGCCAACAAGCCACCACGCTTGTTCAAGTCGCTGGAAGACAAGATCCCCTATGTCCAAGCGGTTCGTCAAGAGAAGATTGTCTGCGCCAACGAACGGTCAGCCTGGCATCAACCAGCTGATCCATTCAGACAGGAGGCTCCGTTTTTCCACCCGACACCATGCAATTTCACCTCTATTTTGCCTTTTTAGTTCCAACACCTCCGGCCTGGGGCTGTTTCTGGGCCCACAAAACCACTGGGGTCTGACAGAAAGACGAGCCCGCAAATCTGGTTGGGGCGGGTCCAGGACCCGTTCGCAGATTTTTTTTTTCGCACCGCCCCCCTCGGTCGAGGTTGAGCTTCTACGACTTGAATGAGCGCCAGGAGTCCGCAGAGAAGGCCAGTTTGGGTTGGGGCATATGGCTGTGGGTCCAAACTAGGGTAACCCCAAAACGGCGAAAACGGCACCCTTTTAAATGGAACCAAAGATGAAAACCTGCGGTCCTTTGGTTGCTGATTTTTGACCCATACCCGTATGTCAGCTTTTGCTCAGCACTCCCTTGGACTCACCATAATGATGGTGATCCTTTGCCTACCAGACATGCAGACTGGTGGCTTTCCTTTTGGGTTTCCTGCAAACCCCAGAAACAGCATACCCTCATGAAACGCGCACCCTGGTCACCTTTTAAGGGGAGCCCAAGGGATGTTCTTCAAACAACTTGGTGTTCAAGTACGGTTAAGCTTGTTGAAATGGAGAGTTGACGGCGGGGCCTTTGGGATTCCTCCTTAGAAGCGAGGAACCAGCCACCATTTGTTCACCACCCACGCTGCTGGCAGGCGTGGGAGCTTTGGCTGCTGGCCAGCCCCTCAGATAGCCGGCAGACGGGCAGTCATGCGCTGTCTGGCTTACCTCGAATGGCTCCGAAGGAAGATACCAGGAACCGTCGAGTTCACCGCTGTGTTTAGTATTCGTATGGTTCCTTGATGTTGTTAACATGCACACAACCATGGCAGACGATGGGCGGCTGACAAAACAGATGCTATGGTTGTCCGTTCAACCGCAATCCGTCAAGGGATGCGTTTTGGACAGCACTTGGAGTCTTGAACACGAGCAAAACACAGCCCTTGTGATCTGTCAGGGTGTCTGGTTCGTAAATTGTGCCCTCCAGGGGGGCCGGGAAGGGGCACGCGGAATCGGGAACTCAGGATGCGAAGTCCTTGGGGAACAACGGCTACACGCAGAATGCCCGGGGCTCTGTTGGGCTCTGCTTGGTGATGGGAGCCCCATCAAGTAGTCTTTGGGAATCCTACTTAGCGCAGAAAGGGGAATTTCCGACAGACATCATGGTTGAGACAGGTTGGGACTTTTGATTTGGCCTGGAAGAATCAAAGAGCACTTCAGAAGGGGCCTGAAAAAGGGGAAGCCCCCATTGACTAGTCGGGCATCCTGACCGCAGTCCAGCGTCATTGTTTGGGCTTTCTCTTTTGCTTGTGCCAAAATAAGCTATGTCGGTTTCTGCCTGAATTCAACCAACAAGCGAAGCAGATCCTCCATTCCCCTGGGGAAACTACGAGACAATTCGAAGAGCTGAGGTGTTTCATTATGGTTTATCCGCAAAAACAGGGAACCCTACCCTTTGGATTTCCTTTTTGGATGGTGTCAATCTTGAGCACCTCACCCAGAATGGTCATTTACTGGATGTTCAACTCGTTCCGCAACCTACCATCGCTAGAATCCGCCGTGCCCAGAGAACCCAGGTCCAACACCTTCCAATGGGTATCCCGGTGCTTCATGCTTCGAGGACGGTTATTGCGGATCCCATCCCAAGGAGATACGCTCGGTGTGCCCTTCAATCCGAACCCTTGGATCAGAGCCGTTCGGTTCCTTCAGATTCCTTTCGGGGAGGCTCCAAAGAGCCCCGGTAGATGCCCGAAAAAGTTGCGAATTGTTTCACGAACACGGGGGAATTCCTCAACTTTGCCTTAATTTACTGTGGCATACCATGCGGCATTGTGGGTTTGCATGTGGTTGCTTTGCCTGCAAAACGTCCACCGTACCGACTCATGCGACTCGCGAACTCCGCGAAGCTCCGAGCGCCTTCCGAGGTGAAGCTGGGGTGGGTGCTGGGCAGCAAGACGGAGCCGGCATCTCGGAGCCCAGAGTGCCTCAAATGGCTGTGGGTCAAAACCAATGGGATCCCTATTGTGGTTGGTAGGTGCACCACCCATTTTAGAACCTATTTCAGTGGGGATTGGGATGTTTACTCGGGGTACGGGATTTTGACCCATGGCCAAATGACAACAAACCCCAACATCCTCCACCAGCTTGAAAGGATCTCCGGAAGGTGATGTTGGGATAGATCTTTTGAGGAACCCTGTCGCAGTTCGAGGGCTTGCGTTTGCAAAGTGTGCATGCTTGAGACGGCCTGGGGCTGTTCCTTTTGTCCGACTTCTTGCTGGAGGTCCTGCTTCCCTTTAAAGCCAACTATGGCACGGTTTTTCATAGCCAGACATAGCTCGCCTTTTCTGGGGTCTCTTTCTTGGCATGATCTTACTTTTCAGGCTGAGACTAAATATGACTTACCTTTGCTTTTCAGATTCAGCCTTGAATAAATGTGCGGTTTGCTTTTGGGGGGCAACAGCTGAGACAGGTGCTTTTGCCCATGGACGCGTGTCGAGGCCAGAAGTGATCCTCTCCAGCAGACTGGTGCCATTGACCGATGTGCCCGGGTGCCCAACGCCAACCCAGAGAGCGGAGGCCATCCAAACAACGAGCAAGGCTAACATGAAACCCGAAAGATACTCAAAACAAAGCGCACAACCAGGAAATTCAAAAGTTGCATCAATTTAGTAAGACTCAGCAGAGTATCCTGCTGTCCCTGCTGATGCCTAAGAGCCTGTAGTTGTTCAGTTCGCCCAGAAGCAAACGCGACAGATCTGTTTCTTGTAGTTTGCAGACACCCGTTTTGGTCCGTTCCAGCCAGCTCGTTTGAGCCGCCGAACGCACTCACTTCAGGGGCCCTACCGGGACCGCAAAGAGCTGCAAGCACCCAAGGCGTGCTTTGGATGGTACCAGCCTACCATTGAAAGCCCATCGGAAGAATTGCCAGAGAACTGTGTCAGGGAGCCGCTTGTCGGTCCTCCAGATTTTCCTATGGACAGGCTTGAAAAGCCTAAGAAATCTCCCGAGTTGCAGATGTCGAGCACCTTCTACCAAATCTGGTGGGAATCTATAGAACAGTGCCAGTATATACCCGTTCTGTGGAAGCTCCCCCGGTTGATGCTCTTTCAGCACTGTTTTGATGGCCCAAAGTGGTGGGCCCTATGGATATGGGTCAGATCGGCCGGTTCCTTTGACATTAATAGAGGGGTTCCCAAGGGATTCCATTACCCATATGCATTTGTCCCCAAGTAAGATTCAATTACCAAATCAAAATGGTTTCCTCTCCTTTCCCCTCAAACCCAACCAAGATAAAGGTGTCCCCCCCCCCAAAAAGAAAAGAAAAGAAAGAGCAAAGCTGGAAGCGCCTATCCAATCTGAGGTGAACCCGTATGTCCCTGTGATCACGGCTCAGGTTCCTTCGCCGGAAGTTGGAGGATTTGAAGGAGGCCAACAGTCAGGAGCTGAACTCGGAGCATTTGGACAGCCCCTGGCTTGGTGTAGAGCCTGGGCGGAATGAATTCCAGTACATGTCACTTGGATTTCTTGAGCATAGCTTACATTTTAAGGTTCACTAAATATGGGCCAGAATCAAAGTCGATTTTTTGGTTGGGGGCGAAAGCTGAGCCAGACTTGCAGGGCTGGGTTACAACTCAGCTGCCCAGAGGTGTGGTTAGATTCGCCTGGATTGTTCCAAGTACAACGAATTCGACTTTGTTTGATGCAATGACATGTCTGGGGACACCCGCTGAATGATTATAGTTGCGCACAAAATGGGTTTGGCGAACCCTTCCGAGATGTCGGTTTTCTCTTTGAAACAAACCCAGCGACAGCGGGCCAAGCAAGGCCTTGTAAGACCCGATTGGTCAAGGTATACGAACCAAATCCTTCAACAGTCAAATGGAAATCGGCCTTGGTTCTGCTCGCTTTGCTGCTTGGCAGGAGATGCGGGAGATCCTGGGCACCTATGTGCTGCACAAGTGGATGGATATGGGCGACGAGGCCTGTGACAGCAATAGCTGACCAAGACAGAGCTTCCTAAGTTTCCACTTTGGGTTGGTGTGAACATATCACCTTTTGGGCCATATCATCACTTGTTGTTGGGCCATTTCAAAAGGGGTTTATTTGGCGGACTGATGATTTGTGTGAACCCTGCAAAATGTGTGTTTCCCTTTAAACGGGCGCCGAACTCTCTCAGGAAAGGGGCACGAACCAGGGTTGGTTGCAAGATTGGTTTGAACGACCATATGTTGTCCCCCTTCAGAAAAACCAAAAGGAGGTTGTCTCAACAATATGGTGGTTTAAACAAGCTGACATTCAAAGGGTTGAGCCGGGAACCACCGGTCACCATGGTCCGCTGGAGGAGTTTTGACCATGCCGTGGCATGGCACACACGCTGAAATCCGGGACTCGCAAGGGCACTTCGCACCAGTTGGGAAAGCTGAAAGCCTACCAATACTGAGACAAACCACCCGTCATCTACATGACCCATGGTTGTTTGGTGCACCTCCCGCTGTCGGAGGGACATTTCGCAGCCATGTGTCCCACAGGAAGCCGTGCGGCCCTCGGACCTTGTTTGGCCACATCACTACAGCGGATGGACAACAGTCACGCCATGCAAAACCTGAGCTGGGGAACAAACAAGACATAGAGCCCACCAGAAGGCTGCTGTAATGCAAAGGAAGAAGCGGTCCTCCAATCAGGATACTAAGAGTAATTTGTTGGTTCTCAGGCTTTTTAGACTTTCGGACTTCACACTCAAAAGTTTGACTTTGGAAGGGATCAACGAACAGCTGAGTCATGAGTTGCTCATGTCCCTCCATTCAGTCGTGGCACTCGGCCCGCAGGACGTGCGACCGCAACAAGCAAAGGGCCGTGGTGGTACGGTGGGACGAGTGGAGGCGGGGTTTTTGGGTGGTCGACAGGGTTGGGTGCCGGCTCCGGATTAATCAACAGCCGGTCGATTGATGCGAGGGTCTTTTTCACAAAAGCGCAGGCAACCAGTTCATCTTCCCACAAGGACACCAAGAAGGATGGATGTCTTGTAATTTTGCCAGACCCCGTGTCCAGAACCCCAGACCCGTGATATGCAGGGCAAGAGGCAAAACATGTGCAGGTCGGGAACAAGTTGAGAGGGCAGCTGAAAAACCTGATTTGCATAATATGCTGTTTGAGGCTACCCTCTTGTCCTGTAAAAGGCAACCTAACCAATACCAATCGTTGGGTTTTGGTTTCCATTTTGAGGCAAACCTTTGCACAGGGAACTCACTCGTGGATTCCTTCAGCCCAGGATGTGGATGGCTTCCTGTGCCTGCCGCTGGTGGTTGATGCCTCAGCCACCAAGGGCCTAGGTGATGTTCAAAGCCACACGGCGGAACATGTTTTTTTGGGTTGCCGGGAACCCTTTTTGGGTTGCTTTTGAAGGGACACCAAACGGAAACCACAAGTTTCTGGATTTCCCCATTTCGAGACAAACCCGGAGTGTTTTGGACTGCTCGAGGTGAAAGACCGTGCAGGACACGACGTTCTTCAGCTGGAGATCATCGTCGGGGCGGGCCAAGGGGTTTCATGGCATTAGGTTTGGATTTGCATATCCTTAAGCCACCTTTCGAAGTATGGTTCTAGGAGTTGATCCCTTCTCCGTTATTTTGAAGAGTTGCTCTGTTCAAACGTGCTTTTGATGGTTTCTGGAAGGATGGATTCCTGGAAAGCTGTTGAGGGTTTTATCGAACCCAGTTAGTTTCCAGCATGCCTCTATGAAGAAAAGGTAAACTAAGACCAAATAAGGTCTTGGGGAGAGGTTTGTACCCGGAATAAGCTTGAAGTTGATCATTTGCCCTGGTTTTGTTTGTTGCTAGGCTAGGCTTTCCTAATTGCCTAGTTTTCCCCTGCCTGTATGAAAGGGAGCTGGTAAATGTATTTGAGTTCTCAGCTGCACTTCAAGCCACTTAAAAAGCTGGTAGAGTACATTTGCCGGGTGGATCGCAAGGCGCCCAGTTGATTAGTACTGGTACAATCCACTCCGAGAAGGCATAGGCACCGTGTTCAGGATTTGGCCTTTGCCCCCTGAACAGCAATGGTTGCCCTGAAAGAGAGTTTCTCTCATCGGCACATCGGCAGAGGCTAATTTCAGATTCGTCTGCAACAAAAAGGAATTAACTCACCCGCTAAAGCCCCTGGATAGTATGTCTTTGGGATAAATCCGAAGTTGACATGTGTGACAGAGATAACAAGCTCCCAAGTAGACATATGTGACTCTCAAGCCTTAATCAGGTCTCAGAAAACCCTTCACCCCACTCGCCTCTGATTCACTGCTTTGGGGTAGCTTAGGAACAGTCCTTTTGAGGTTGCTGGGGATGCCACCTGTGTTATGTGGTTCGCTTGCTTTTGAGTCGGGTGCAAAGAACAAAGCTTGCTGCGACATACGCTAAACCAAGACAGGGGGACAAGGCCCTTTTTGGGGTCAAGAGGGACCTAGGCCCCTTTTTGCTTTTCCGTACTTTCGGACTCCACCGTACCAGTCCAGGGTCTCCAACGTGAATTTATGTTTTAGGGTTGACTAGAATCCGAACGTATGATGTTTCTGTGCACCGTAGATGTGGGCCAAGTCAGTGGACTCCCAAAAAGGTGGGTTTCCTTTTGGCTCCCCTGGAAACCAACCTCAACCTCATGGTGACCATTTGCGACGTTTTCTTTCGGGACAAACAACCATTCATTAAAAGTCGTGATCTTCCAATGGCTCTCTTTGCTGCTGAATCAGTATTGGACACTTTGGAGTTTAGGCATTTTGTGGCTACTCCACCCACTCACTCCCTGAGTTCCTCGACTTCCAACTCATGTTTGTGACAAACAGAAAGTTTGGACTTTTCTTGGCCAATCCACTCACGAAGTGAGGTATTTGTATTCAGCGACTCCTTTGGTGAATTCACTGGCCAGGCGCCCTGCTACTGCTATCCTCCGGGCTCGATGCTTTGCGTCGACCCCACGGCAGAAGTGCCGAACTGGGCCCAGAAGTCCCCATGCGTCGCCAGGCGCCAAGCTGATCGGTAGAGACCAGAGGGACCCCCCAACAATGGTCTTTTCGCTGAACCGAGCTGAAAACTGGTGCCTTCAAAAAAACACACACACAGACACACACACACACCCACCCACCCACCCACCCACCCACCCACCCACCCACCCACCCACCCACGCACGCACGCACGCACGCACGCACGCACGCACGCACGCACGCACGCACGCACGCACGCGCACGCACACCGCACGCACGCACGCAACGCACGCGCACGCGCAAGCGCTGCACGCACACACACACCCACACGCCAACCCACAAACACACCACACAAACACACAAAACACACAAACACACAAACACAAAACACAAACACACAACACACAAACACACACACAAAACACACAAACACACAAACACAAACACACCACACACAAACACACAAACACACAAACACAAAAACACAAAAACACAAACAACACAAACACACACAAAACACAACAACAAACAAAAACACAAAAACCCACAACACAAAAACACAAAAACAGCACACACACAACACAAACACACAAACACACAAACACACAAACACACACAACACACAAACACACAAACACACAACACACAAACACACAACACACAAACACACAAACACACAACAAACACACAAACACACAAACACACAAACACACAACACACACAACACACACAAACACACACACACAACACACAAACACACAAACACACAACACACACACAACACACAAACACACTCAAACACACAAACACACAAACACACAACACACACAAAAAACACACAAACACACACAACACAACAAAAACACACAAAACACACAAACACACAAACACACAAACACCACACAAACACACAAACACACAAACACACAAACACACAAACACACAAACACACAAACCACACACACAAACACACAAAACACAAACACAAAAACACAAAACAAACACAAACACACAAACACACAAACACACAAACACACAAACACACAAACACACAAACACACAAACGCACAAACACACACACACACACACACGCACAAACACACAAGGCACCACACACACACACACACATACCCACGCACCCACGCACCCACGCACCCACGCACCCACGCACCCACGCACCCACGCACACCACGCACCCACGCACCCACGCACCACACGCACGCATACGCACGCACGCACACGCGACGCACGCAACCACACACACACACACCCACACCCACACCAACCCACACTCCACACCCACACCACACGCACGCCACACGCACACCACAAACCCACCACACCGCACACGCCCACACTTACACACACACACACACACACACACACACACACACACCACACACACACACACACACACCACACACACACCACACACACCACACACACCACACACACCACACACACCACACACACACACACACCACACACACCACACACACCACACACACCACACACACCACACACACCACACACACCACACACACCACACACACACACACACCACACACACCACACACACACACACACCACACCACACACACCACACACACACACACACCACACACACACACACACACACACACACACACACCACACACACCACACACACCACACACACCACACACACCACACACACACACACACACACACACACACACACACACACACACACACACCACACACACCACACACACCACACACACCACACACACCACACACACCACACACACCACACACACACACACACCACACACACACACACCACACACACACAGACCACACAGACCACACTCACCACACACACACCACACACACCACACTCACCACACACACACACACACACGCGCACAAATACACGCAAACACACACACACACAGGCACCCGCGCAGAAATTTGTTATTCACCTCGGTACCCTATGTCGGGTGGTGTTAAAGTCATGAGGGGCTACAGCAGCCCCCCCTGACCCCCCCCCCCTGCAAAGGCTTTGAGCATATTTCGCTTGCTGTCAGGCTGAATTCAAGAGCTCCAGGATGCAAACCAAGCAAAGTACACCGGATGTGATTCAGGGTAAACTAAGTTTCACTGTTCACAAAGTATTCGGGAAACAAGAAAATCACAAATGGGGGACAACATGTGACACCACAATCAGCTTAGTCTGCTGTTCAAGATGGCCGGGCCGATGATGATGCGGCCTCGGCCTCGACATGCGGAACCGCGCCGCCCGCAGCTCTGATGGCTTGCAGGATGCACTCGTCACTTGGCTTAGTGTACATTGGCTCCAACTTCAATGCCTGATTCCGAGTCTTTTCTACAAATTTAAAAACCAAGCGGGCTGCAGCCACCTTTGCATCTTCGCTGTCACCCTCCCATGAGGCCCTCTTGCTTTTTTGGTAGCCATCTAATCCATCACCTTCAGCTGTTTCAAGTTGCAGAAAGAAAGCAACACTACTACACTAAATTCTTCATCAATAATGACTCGTTGATTCATAGCTGCGTGGTGAACATCGAATCAGAAAAGCAAGCAAACCTCAACACATCACTGTTGTTTGGAGCAGCGCCCTCAACAGAACCGCGACTAACGTGTTAAAGTCGACCAAACTCGTTGGGACCCTTCATGGAAATGGTTTTGAGTTGAGGGGAGTGGCAAAACGTTTCAGTTCAAATGGGCAGGCTGTACCAAAACCTATATTAAACTGAGCTGGGCGACCTTTGAATTGCGCCCAGACCTTCTTCTTCTCAGGCAGCCAATAGAAATAAAGGTAATCGACGTCGGCAGGCAATAGATCCACAAACTGTCGAGGGGCGCGCACCTTTGACACAGGTGGGTTGGACATGGTTCGTTTCTCCTTCTCCTCTGGTGCTGCTGCAGCTTCGTCCTGAGGTTTGTGCACAGCTTGCAAGCTTTGCTCTGCTGCTGTGTTTCGAGCAATCGACTCAGCTTCGGCAATCTTTGCTCGTGCGGCTGCCTTTTCGCGTTTGCGGGCATCTGCTACTTCCAGTTCCTGAGCTGCGTGCTTTGCGATGTCGGCAAAATGAGCCGCCTCCTTCTCACCCAAAGCTGCTGTCATTTTCAAAATTGCATCATGGTCTTCCTTCTCATCGTTTTTGTCAGCAGCCTTTTTGCCAACCCACTTCTCCAGGATGGATTGCTTCTCTTCGTCTGTTGAGCTGGTGTAGACTATTGCCACTAACTGCTTTTGCCAATCATATTTGGTCACCCCTCCCTTCTTCCCACTGCCTTGGGATGGAGTTGAGCCGCCCCGCCACACGCAAATGGTTTTGATCTCTTGCATAGTCAATGAGACCCTGGAATCAATGGCACCCTTGACAATGTCTTCCGATGGGCCTGTGATTTTGACGACCGCGGCTTTTGAGGTGAAGTTGCCGCCAGCTGGCACGCACGCCGGCGCCATGATCACGGTTGGGAGGTGCTGCCAAGGACCCTCGGGAGCAACACTCTTGTTGAAGACAAACTTCGGAATGTGACCCATGATCTGCCGCGTGTTGATGTCCAGGAACTCCTTGCG